TTTAAGATGTAATCATTCATTTTAACAATGTTTATGCAAAGTCCAGATAAGTAAATTGAGTGATGTGGTATTTTAGTCTGTTTTATGCTGCTGTAACAGAATACCACAGATGGAGTAATTTGTAATAAACAGAAATTATTTGGCTCACAGTTCTGGGGACTGGGAAGTCCAAGAGTGTAGTGCAGGCATCTTATGAGGACCTTCATGCCTCATCTTCCCATGGTGGAAGTTAGAAGGGCAAGAGAGCGTAAGAGCAAGAAAGCAAGATGTGGGAAAACTCACTTTTATAACAAACCCACTCTTGAGATAACTAACCAACTCCCACGATGATGACAGTCCATTCATGAGCGCAAAGGCCTCATGACCTAATCCCCTTGTATCAGGCCTCACTTATCAACACCATTGTGTTGGGGATTAAATTTCCAACGCATGAATTTTAGTGGACAATTCAAACTATTGTATATAGTTTCATATCCTCCATGACTGACATTGCTCTGCTAAAGCATACACTAATGAGAATCAAAGGTCTTGAAGGAATTTGGATATCCACTTTAAACACACAGAGAGTCATATATTTATTATCTGAAGTTCCATTGTTCTTTGACACATATATGCAAACCTTCGGTTAGTCTTTATCTGCATTTTAATCCTAATTTCTAGAACCTCTTATCTCTAAATTAGTTATCATCTCCATGGTTCCTACTTATTTCCTTTTTTGATAAAAATCTGATTTACCTCCCTTTTGTAAGAAAATTCCAAAGTTTTAGAAAATGCTTTTGTCTTAGGCTTCTCATTTCAGTATGAAACAGATAGCGTTCTTTCACAAGCAGATTACATTTTCTCCTTCCAGGATTTACACACACACACACACACACACACACACACACACACACACACACTAAATCTCCTAGCTTCCTTCCAGCTCTCTGAGAGTCTGTACCCTTTAGCAATGTAATTTCCTATTAGAAAACTCATAGACTAGCTTACTTCTCTGTAACAGATGAATTAGGTGCAATTTGTCTGGCAGATTGTTGTAAAACTAGGTAACCCATTTAAAAGTATATCAGCCGTCTGCAGCTTAAGATACATACTTTGCCTTCAAAAACACGTTTTATGGTTTTCTAGCCTTGCTTTGCCATTTTTTTAATCACAATCATTCTTTAACCTCTAAATGTGTGAAACATGTGACTTTCTTGATCACCTTTACTTACACAGGCCTGTATTTTAATTCATAGGTGATGGTGCACAGTTGGATTTCGATACCCTGTGTGACAATGATGACACAGCCATGGCTGCATTTATGAATTACTTAGAAGCAGAGGGGGGCCTGGGAGACCCTGGGGACTTCAGTGACATCCAGTGGACCCTCTAGCCTTTGATTTTTAACTCCAATAATGAGAAACATTTTAAAGCATTTTATTTACGAAAAACTGTCTCAACTATTCTTCAGTACTGTATTGATATTGTTTGTATCTTTTATTAATGTTCTACCAGTTTTTATAGATTTGCATCTTATTGTCACAGGGATGTGGGGAAATATGTTTTCCTCCCAAGAGAACCAAGTTTATTATAGACTCCTTTATTCAGTGAAATGGCTTGTAATCCACTAGTTGCCATATTTTTGCTAAAATATTTCTAACCAAGAATACTACATACCTATTGTTTTGGCTTTGTTTTATTTTTGATGCAGTTTTTTTTAGTTGGGGTAATGTAATATATTGATATTTTCCTTTGTGTCTAAGATTCATTTATAATAGTAGGTTTGTATAATTTGGAACATTTTCCATTCCTTGCGAATTTCCTTAATTGAGGATAGGGCTTACACACTTTAAGAAAACAGTGAGTACTTGAACATTTAAAGGGACAGTGCAATTTATAGTCATAATCACATTGAATACTGTATTTGATCTTTGGAGACTTAGGCAAGCACAGAGCTGGGATATGTATGCTCAGTTGAGCACTTTAAGATGAATTTTAAGTGAGATGATTTATTACTTAAAATGCAGAAAGTCAAAAGAGTCAGTTTTCCTTACAGAAAAGGAAGGATCTTGGGCCCTAGATCTTGGGGATTAACCTTTGCATGTAAGATTTACTCTTACTAGGCCGGACGTGGTGGCTCACGCCTGTACTCCCAGTACTTTGGGAGGCTGAGGCAGGCAGATCACTTGAGGTCAGGAGTTCAAGACCAGCCTGGCCAATATGGTGAAACCCCATCTCTACTAAAAATACAAAAAAAAAAAATTACCCAGGCATAATCCCAGCTACTTGGGAGGCTGAAGTGAGAGGATTGCTTGAACCTGGGAGGCAGAGGTTGCAGTGAGCCAAGATCGCACCACTGCACTCCAGTCTGGACAATAGAGTGAGACTTCATCTCAAAAAAAATAAATAAATAAGATTTACTCTTAATATAATCACTGAAGATCTCTATTATAGCTAGATTAGGTTTTTGACATTGAAAAAATACTTAGGGATAGATTTGTCCTAGAGGAAAAAAGTAGGCCTGGGCAGATTAAATGTCTTGTGTAAAGTCACACATTGAATTCATAGTTTTAAATGTGTAATGTATATAAACAAGTTTCTTTATACACATTTGGGAAAACATTGGTCTCACTGGTTAAATGATTAACTAACTGACCTAGGAACTAGTTGTAGCTTTCTAGGTAACTAGGTAATTACAGTTATTATTGCCTGTAACCAAAGGTAATGAAACAAATGACAAGTACATTTTTTAAATTATGAGGCAATGAGAAATAATTTTAAAACCGATTTTCTAGTTATAATTTAAAATTTGGAGAGCATTTTTAACAGTAATTAATCTAGAGATGGCTCAAATTGAGTATAAGAATTAAGATTATTTAAAATACTGCATGTCTACCTTCTCGGGGATCCTACTTTATGACACTTTCTGCTTCGGTATCTCTTCATAGCTTACCGAGTATGCTCCCATATGTTCTCTCTTGTGCCTCACAAATGAAAGTCAGATAGGCTGGGAACTCATGCAGCAGCCCTCACACTTCAATGTGGGCTTCAAATCCAGTTTCCTGTTCTATATGGTACTACATCTTTCCAGCAAATTTCCCTCAGAGCCCCTCGCCAAAACAAAGCATTTTGACCCTGCATGCTATTTCTTTAGCTGTAGGTGATAGATTAGGCTGTCAGACATGTTAATGACAAACATACCAACAGACAATAACCAAAAACAAATGATCAAGTGTGAGATGTGCAGGGGCTGCGTGGACAAGGATGTATTGGCACCCTGACCTCTTGAACTGATACAGTGTCCCAGCAATGTTGGAGGGTCGGCATTATTTCTGGTCTGACACTCGAGGACCTGAGAGACATCAGATTTAGGATAAGCCAAAGAAATCCTATGAGATGGGGAGAATTGGTGTGCAGCAGCCTAAGCATTATAGTTAAGTCTAAGGAAGTGTGAAAGATCCCCTGTGTTCTCTAAATTGGGCAGGGAGGCCTGCCTACCAATAGCACTTTTTAGGGGACTGAACCATTGCGGGTTGGACTTGGCTTCCAAAGAGTCTGCCTGAGCCAGGAGTGGCAGGGTAGGCCATCATGGCTGGATGGCCTCAAAAGCAGATGGGGGCAGACCTGCCCTCCTGATGCCAGGATTTGAGAGGCAGAGTTTCTAGAGGCAGACCAGTGCTGCCTCAGACAGTGGCAGTTTTTTCTCTTTGCAAGAGGAGGGGCTGTTCGATTCCATAGACCAGTGGGCAGATAGCCAGTTGAATACTCTGTGCATGGTTTGATCCTTTATTAGTTCACTCTCATATTTTCTGTAGATCCTTTTGTCCTGGACTCAGAATCTAATCCATGCATCGTATGATACCGTCGCTCTCCTAAGGTTTGTGTTTCCTTCAAAATGTTTTAGTTGTCTTCAACTAAATTTGATTTTTGCTGTTGGACATGACATATTTTTATGGCATACACTATGTTACTTTTTTCTCCTACAAATCAATTGTTTGAACTTTGGTGAGAAAGAACATATCCACAAATTGCATAAAAGTATAAAAACAGTACTGTAGACTTTTTTTTAACCCTTAGAATTACCAGTACAATAACGTAGTGGAGTGGGAAGAGTGCCTAGAATCAGAAGACCTTGTTGAGGCTGAATTTAGCTGTGTGACCTCATGCAAGCCATTTAAACTCTCTGTGCCTCAGCTGCCTCATTTTTAAAAGGAGGTTTGATCTCTATGTTTACTTCCAACTCTGATCCTGGGATTCTAATCCATAGGACTTGGGCGTTAGGGTGGAACCTAGAACTGTGCTGTCCAGTGCGGTAGCCACTAGCCACATGTGGCTGCTGAGTACTTGCAGTGTGGCTAGCACAAAGTGAGGTGTGCTGTCAATGTAAGATACATACCAGATTTTGAAGACTAGTATTACCAAAAGAATGTAAAATATCACATTAATAATTTTCTATTAATTACATGTTCAAATGATATTTTGGATATACTGAATTAAATAAAACATTAAAATTCTTGTATCTTTTTACTTTTTTAATGTGGCTAGAAGAAAATAAAATTATACATGTGGCTCAGATTATATTTCTATTGGACAGCGCTGCTCTAGAACATTATATTAAGTGGTTACTATTGAAGTAGACCAAAGTTTATACCATAAGAATATTTTTCCTTAAGTACCATGTTTGAAGAACAATTATTTATTGATCCTTGAATCTGTAAGATCAAATAACAAGTCTCTATCCATGTTACCAAATTTAAACTTTTGAAAATAATAAACTTTAAAATATCAGATATTTTATTACAGGATGATACTTGGAATCAAGTGAAATGAGTTATATGGTCATCACCAAATTTAGAAATCTGTTGTGAAACAGAAAGACAAACAGGAAAGTACAGAATAGAGACTTTTGGTAAATAAATGGAATTTAAAGAGAAGTGTTTATTTAGTGTCACGACAGAAAAGGAGGTCTTTGTCATCATAGTCATTAAGGAATCTCCATAAAATCTGGGGCACAGCTACAAGAAATAGCCAATATTTAGTTACCAGACCATGTTTAGTAGTGT